CTGCTCCGGGGGGGGGGGATCAGGAAGCAACTCCTGGGGGCATGGCGAGGCAGGACGAGGATGCATTCGGGTACGGATAAATCGCGAATCTCTGAGATCGGGCGGCTCTGGAGGATGCGTCGGGCGCCGCGGCCTTCTCAGAGCGTTCTAGAACGCGCTGGAACGGACTTATCCTCGTCCTAGCCCTGCCCGATACGAGGTGCACGCGAGTACGATAAAAGGCTGTTCGGCCCGATTAACTCGGCGGCCACGCTGTGGTTGATCGGGAGTTTCTGTATATGAGAGAAGGGACCTGCGTTTCTCGGCGAGAGGAAAGTGACCGAGATGAGAATGAGCGTGAGGATCAAAAGTGCGAGGGCCGCGAGGGGGAGGATCAGGAGATTGAAGGTCACGCAAGCGAGGATCAGGCGAACGTGGAGCAGGAGGGTAAGGATGTGAAGAAGGAAGGCCAGGAGAGCGAGGGTGGCGAGAATGGAAACCAGGAGGATGAGGAACGGGCGGGCGTGGCGCCCCCGGCTGCCATGCTGGCAATCTCCACCTCCTCCTCCTCCTCCTCCTCCTCCTCGTCCTCCTCCTCCTCCTCCTCCTCCTCCTCCTCCTCCTCTGCCTCCTCCAACTCGAATGGTCCTCCTCCACCCAATCCTCCTCCTCCGTCTCCTTTTCCTTCTCATCCTTCTCCTCCCCCCAGAAGATTTCCCGGACGTCGCCTGAAACGGAACGGGGGTCATCTGATGGCCTCCTTGGGGCAAGGGGCCGGTTTATCTGAGGATGTCCCACGCGAGGGCGCCGGTTTGGAATTCTTCGCCAGATTTCTTTGATCTCTCCAGATTTCCCGAACTTCGCCAGAAACGGAGGCCTCCTTGTGGAGGCTTCAAGGGCCGGTTCTTCTAAGAATTTCACACGCGAAAGCGCCAGTAGATTGGAATTCGTCGACGGATTCGCCGGATTTCCCAGACCTCGCAGGAAACGTAACAGGAAAGCATCTGAGGGTCTCGTTGGGGAGGCTCCAGGGAACGGTTTTTCTGAGGATGTCCCACGCGAGGGCGCCGATAAATTGGAATTCGTCGCCTGATTCGTCGCCGGATTTCCCGGATCTCGCCTGCAACGGAACAGGGGGGCGGCCTCCAGGGTTTTTTTTTCTGAGGATGTCCCACGCGGGGGCGCCAGTTTGGAATTCGTCGCGTGATGCGCCCGATTCGCCGGATTTCCCAGATGTCGCTTGCAACGGGGCAGGGGGGCCTCTGAGAGCCTCCTTGGGGAGACTCGGGGAGCAGTTTTTCGGAGGATATCCCACACGAGGGCGCCAGCTTGGAATTCGTCGCGGAGTCGGCGGAAACAGACCAGGCCTGGAGGGCCTCTGAGGTCCTCCTTGGGGAAGCTCCAGGAAACTTTTCTGGCGATGTCCCACGCGAGGGCGCCGGCTTCGAATTCGTCGCAAAGTTCGATGGATTCGCCAGATTTCCCGGATGTCGACTGAAACGGAACAGGGGAGCCTCTGAGGGCCCCCCTTGTATGAGGAGGCTCTGGGGACGGTTTCGGTTTGGAATTCGTCGCCAGATTCCCTGGATTCGCCGGATTCGCCGGATTGCCTGGATGTCGCCTGAAATACGGAACAGAGGGGGGCCTCTGAGGGCCTCCATGGGGAGGCTCCGGGAACAACTTTTCCGAGGATGTCCCACGCGAGGGCGCCAACCTGGAATTCGTCGACGGATTCGCCTGATTTGCTGGATTCGCCTGATTTCCCACATGTCGCCTGAAACGGAACAGGGGGGCCTCGCTCCAGGGGCGGTTTTTCTGAGGATGTCCCACGCGAGGGCGCTGGTTTGGAACTCGTCGTCGGATTCTTCGGATTCGCGGGATTTTCCGGACGTCGCCTGAAACGGAACAGGCGGCCTCTCCTGTGTGACTGTTGCATGATAGGCGTGTTGTAACTTGCTGCGAACCTGCGATTGCGAACTTGCGTAAGATTCATAGCGCAACTACGATTCAAAACTATTCATAACTCGTCATAACTAGTATGTCCTCCTCCGCCTCTTCCCTCATCCGTCCACCTTCCTCCTGCCTCCTCCTCGTCCTCCCCCCCGTCCTCCTAGCTCCTCCTCCTCCTCCTCCTCCTCCTCCTCCTCCTCCGCCCGCTCCTCCACCTACCTCCTCCTCCTCCTCCTCCTCCTCCTCCTCCTCCTCCTCCTCCTCCTCCTCCTCCTCCTCCTCCTCCTCCTCCTCCTACGTTCCTCCACAACGTACCGACATAGCCCTCTTTGGGCCTCTTTGGGGGTGCCTGGGAGGCCTCTTGGGGCCATATTGCGACCCATGGTTCAAACAGAGGGGGGTACTTAATTTACGCCCCCTCTCGGAAGTTCAACGATGCTGTCTTGAGGCCGTCTTGGCCCGCTCTTGAAGCGCTCTTGGGCGCTCTTGAGGCCGTCTTGGGGCCCTCCTGGACCCCTCTTGGGGCTACCTTGGGCCGTCTTGGGGCCATCTTGAGACCTCAAGCGCCCATCGGAAGCGAAAAACGAGAAGGCAAAACACACTGAGTTTCCTCAGGTGTTTGAAACATGTTGGCCTCTTGGGGGGGTCCTTGGAAGGCTCGGAGGGCACTTGGCACCGTCTTGGGGCCGTCTCGAGGCCTCTTGGATGCGTGTCGGAGGCTATCTTGAGCCATCTACCGCCATCTTGGGCCATCTCTTGGAGGCCATCTTGCGCTCTCCGCGGCCCTCTTGGAGCCATCTTGGGTCATCTTGCACATTCTGGCGACTCGGGCCCGCCCACTCCCGGGTCCAGGGGAGGGGGTGGGGGGGGGGGGCAACCCCCTCCCCCGAGCAGGGGAAGGAGGAGGTCTTCGCAGAAAGAAGACATTACTCGCTAGACCACCTACGCCCAGAAGGCTGGTAGGATTTATTGTTTTCCCTGCTACAGGCCAGTCGCAAACAGCTATGACCGAGTTCAGTCTCCTCTGGGATGGCCAGGCGGGCCTCCATGCGCCGTGTGGGAGCCGAGGGCTGTGCCCGCGAGGCGAGTGGCCCCTCCCAGGCCCACGCGCGCCGCCCAGAGGACGGCAGTGGGCCAGGACGGGCCTGGTCCGAGTCTCCTGAACTCGCAAGCAGACGCGACTGTCTGGCCTCGCTCCTGTGGGCGAGGAACAACGTGCTGCGCTGGCGGCGGCGGCGGCTTCGACGCTAGTCGAGCTGCCACCCGCTCTCACTGCTGTCGCTGCTGCTTCTGAATCTCAGCGGTGTTGTACCGCTCTGGCGCTGACATAGTGGCACTCGATGTGGGGTGCTTGCCAGCAAGAAGTCTGTTGATGCGCCCCCTGTTCCGGGGGGCTTGCCAGGGTATTTGCCAGGCGGAGCTCTGGTCACATACTGGGTGTAGCGCCCACAGACAAGACAGAAAAGAATGGGCGCGTCTGGAAAGCCGGCAATCGCCATCTGGCGTGACGCATGAATGGCCTCCAATCCCTTCCTGAAGGCGCTCTCGAAGGGTCGAAGGGACGGCAAGCTTGCCGCTCGCGGGCCACTGCTGCTTCATATGATCGGGCAAACGTAAAACAGGCCGAGCACCTGTAAGGTACAGGCCCGTCGAGAACCTCCCAAACGCGCACAACACCACAGGCCTGTACCTTAGAGGGCAGCACGGCTCTCTCGCTCTTGTGCCTGTTTTTTTGGCAACGGACGAGAACTCTCGGTGCATAGACCGCCACAGCTCTGGCGGCATCGACAGCGCGCTGCAACTCCTGCAGCGCTGCTGGGATAAAAGATGGTGGCAAGAGGCGCAGGCCGCTTTGGCTGCGGCGTCGGCTGCCGCATTGATTTCAGCTGCTAGCTTGGCCTCTCCAGCCAGTGCTTCGATATCCAAGCGCAAGCTTGTGCACGCCTGAATACTTTAACTTACTACTGGGTCTAATTGGCAGTGGCCTAGCATGCTGATCAAGGACCGCTTCGCAGTCCACCCAAGTCTGCGAGGGTTTCGCGAGGGCCTGTTGGAACACCAGGAAGCCCATGCGTTCCCCAGCCTGGGGGGCCCGGGGGAGATTGGCGCCAACAGCCCCGTAAAATGAAGCCTCTGGGGCCCCGTCAGTACTGTAAGCCACTGCCGAACACGTCGCTCTGTCTAACTCCGCAATGCCTGTCTTGGTGCACGACCCGTCGGTCCCCGTGAGCCCCCGAAGTCGTGCGCCGTGTCTGGCTGGCCGTCATGTCTCACGAATCGTACACTGGGATCTTGACTTGGCAGCGGCAAATCTTCGTGCTGCTCCCCTGGGTGCACGAATACTCCGCGGCAGCGCAGGGGGCTGTTCTCAGGCGCCTCCAGCGCAGCTCGAAGCACTCCTGGCGGCAGAGATTCAGTCCTGAGGGCTTCCACCTCTGGGTGCTGGCAGCGATAGAGGCGATGGTGGAGGGTGCCCCCGAAAGCCTGGCATAACGGACAAACGTCAGGCACATCATATCCTAATTGAGAAAGCTGTTCTTCGGTCCACCACCCCTGGACCACCAGCGTTTGAAGGGCGGCCTTGAACCTAGGCGCAAGCTTCCTGCTTTTCGGGGAAAGCAAGGAACGAACAATGTCAAAACAGGCTCTCTTAAAGGGGGGTTGGGCTGGGGATACTTCTAGTGGCTAGTACGTCTCATTCCCCTTGACATCCTCGCTGCAGCTGGTCGGAAAGCAAGGACGGCGAAGTGTCGGTGAGCCTGATAGTCCTGCCGAAATGATCCCGCAGGGTGAAAGCTGACGTAAAGCACCAGTCAATTCTGTGTAGAGCGTGCGCGGCCGCGCTGAGAGGGTCCTCGCACGGCGTTATAACGCGAGTGTCCTACTGGCTGAATAGTTTGATATATCTCCTTCTGTTCAAGCAGTCCCATGGTCCCTGGGGTCGCAAACTTGCCGAGAGTGGTGCGCCAAACTTCCTGGGCCCACCTGAGGACCGGCCCCAGGGCCCAACGATCGGCCCTGGACCCCGTGGCGGCAAAGGCCGCGCTCCTGGACTTCTTAGACGAACAGGG